CCGGCTGCCCTTGTCCTCACAGTCACACACTGGGCTGTCCCTGACCAGGAGGGTCCACAGAGAGAGAACGCCGGCTCAATGGGCCCGGCTGTCAGGCCTGCAGCCGACTGACCCTGCCCCACATGGCATGTAGAAAAAGGGGGTCTCGTCCTGGCACGAGTAAGGTCCCACTTTTCTGGATGACAGGGACAAGACTGAAAAACACAGCTCTGAGGCCTCCAGGGAGAAAGCTACTTGGGCATCCTCGGGCCTTGGATGAGCTCTGGGCAGACCGATTTTTCTCCTCTCATTATTTGCATCGCGCCTTGCTTTGCAGCCACGTTTGGGGGAGATAACTAGAAAAAAGGCACCATCTGTGCCGTGAGCCCTGGCAGGGCCCAGACACGGCTTTGGAACAGGAGGGCTTCGCTGGAGTGACGTGCACCCGAGTCTCCAGGCCTGCTGCCCCGTGCAGCCTTCTTTGGCAGGAGAGGCTCCCTCCACAAGGCCTCCTGTGCAGGCAGCTCCTCCAGCACGGCCGGGAGCAGCTGCGCTCCCCGGGGCTCCTGCTCCGACAGCAGAGATAATGAGGTTACCAGCCCAGAGAGGCGCCTCTGCAGCCGCGGGCCTCTGGCTGCCAGCCCGCACCCTTGGAGCCTTCCTGTGACAGCTGTGGTCCCCGGCTGTCAGAGGGCATTTGTCACAAGACCTGGTGGGCAGGCAGGGGGGCCCCCAGGCAGCTGGCCAGATGCTGCTGTGATCTGCCATGCCCCCTCCCCAGCCCCCAGGTTTTCAAGCCGTTTTCCTGCTTCCTTTCTGCTCCCTGCACTCAGAGCTGTTAATACACTTTTTCATCAGCTGCCCTGCTTCAGTTTCTGGCAGACCAAGCTGGTTTCTGCACTGATTAGAAAAGCAGGGCTTTCTGGCACCTGGAGGCATCCATGCAGTAAGCAGGGAGGGGGCCCAGCCACCTTCACAGACCACGGCCAAGGTCGGCAGAGGGAACCCCAGCCAGCTCTGCAGGGGGATGTGGTCTTTCCCCAGGGCAGCACTGTAGGGTGCAGAGTGTCCCCATCTCACACCCACCTCCCACCCCACATCATGCTGGCCCACCCAGACAGGTTCAGACTCTTCAGTGTAACCTGATCCTGGTCACCAAAGGCCGAGTCCCCATCGTGGACCTTAATGCACAATCCTGGCTCTCCAGGTCCCCAGGAACTTCCCGGAAGGGGAGGGCAGTCTGGGCACAGCGGCAAAGGCCATTCCCACCTTAGGACAGGCAGCTCCTGCCACTGGGAAGCCTGCACTTTGGGGCTCAGTAGCTCTGTAGGTGAGGCACAGGGAGGAAGTGGCTGAGCAGCTTTGCTCCCTGGGCCTTCATTTCCCCAACCCTAAGCCATGGGAGTTGGGCAGGACTCACCTGGCTAAACTAGGAGTCTGGGTCTTTGGCCATGGAGTCTGACGTGCCACAGGGTGAGCTGGGAGTTCAGGTCTCCTCCCGGGAGCTCACACCGCAGATGCTGGCCCCAGGGAGCAGCAGAAGAGCTCCTTGCTGGGGAAACCAGCGCTCCACTAGTGCACCCTGCCTTTCCTGGGTCTGTCCACCCACTCGCACCCTAATCTGCTTCTCAAGGACAAAGGGCAGTGGGTGTCTCCTCCAGTCCGGCCAGCCTCACCGCCCTCACAGCCGGGGCAGGAGGACTGCCATCCCTCTCCCAGCCAGGGAGGTCAAGGGAACCAAGTGGCCTTTTCCTGCAGCCATCATAATCCTGGATTAAAGTAATAAGCTTCGGCAAGTCTGGGCTTAACCCTTTCATCTCAGGAACATGAGTGGGGACCTAACCAGGAAGGTAGAGAGCTCCACACTTTCCCAGACTCCCGGAGGCAGCGGGTGGAAGAGGTGCAGAGTTCAGCAAGCCCTTCCGCTCAGCGTTCATCCATTCTTGCATATTTTGAAGCCTTTTGATGGCCAAGCATGAAACGCTCTCGCTGTCATACTGCGTGCAGTTTCCCAGGGAGGGGAAGCGGGAAGCGGTGCTTAAACTGGTTTTGGACTGTGGGCTCCATGAGGATGCCCCTTGTCTCGGGTGCACACGTGCCTTCTTCCAGCTCTGCAGGACACGGACAGGACAGAGTCTGGGCGTGGCAGCTAAGCATGTGGTACAGGGCAGGCTGCCTGGGTTCAAATCCCTAGTCGACCACTTCTAATGCTACCTGGCAGCGTGCTTGGGGGGAAGCCTCAGTTTCCTCATCTGCTATTGAGGGCTCAGTTGTTAAGATAGTGAGACTGAGTCCCTTAAAAGAGCTTAGCACAGGGCCAGCTGGTGTCATGGTGGCTAAGGCAGCTGGTCCCACATGGCCTGACTGCACAGCGGGAGACCTGGACCCAGCAGCCTGAAAAACATGGCCAGCACACATGCATGCATGCCCCCAGATCCTGAAAG